ATAAAGAACTTATAATAAACTCCATAAACACAAATGTAAATATTTGTAAAAATATTAACCATCATTCATTTTACCTATAGCCTACATTTTATTTTTAAAGGTATATAAAGCCACCATTGTGAGAAACAGGAAGGAAGAGATTTGAAATGTCTGCAAAGAAATGCAACAGACCTCAAGTAAAAGTTGTAGCACAACCTTTCTTCTCTCCAAAATACACCATTTTCATTAACAACTTTTTGGTTTTGGTGAATTTCTGTTTTAAAATAACTGGTAAAACATAAATTCTCAAAATTCATCATGTTTTTACATTAACAATTCAACTAAAAGGTGGTAAAGTATGGAAAGAGAAGGAGTATATGTTTTATTTTTTAAATGTATTCATAAATCATTTTTGGCTAATGACATTAATGATTAAAGAAATGAAATACTAATGAATATTAAAATTCTAGGACTTTAAAAATCTAAAGTTACTTAAATAAATCGACAAAATATAATTCATTTGTAGTACACCAAGAAGTTACAAAACAAGAATCTACTTAAAAAGAAATGGATTAACCTTAGGAAGTAAGAAATGGCTTTTGGAGGAAATATGCCAAGATAATCAAGAAATAGAAACAAAAACAAGCTTGCATAAAGTATATGAGAAATATATACATACATATACATATAAACAAAATTCTTAGCATCCAAAGGTGTCATTATTCTTAAAGATGAAGAAAAGTCTCACGTTTTTTATCAATGTGACCAATGACTAAGAACAAGGTAAAATCTAAACCATGGTAAATGAAATTTCCAGTTTAATGAACACCTATTACCTCATCTATGTGATATCTAAAGCAATATCAGCAATCACAAAAATAATATGTCCGACAAAAGCATGCAGGGCTCTTTCAACATGGATTTGTAAGACATTTATCATGAGAAAAAGCTGCCTTTTTGACATCAACAATCTATCAATAAATTTTACTCCCATGATACAAGGTGCAATGAGCCATTTCCCAAAACTTTATGTGATACTGAAAATTTCACTGGGAAAGTCTAGCTTGAAGAAGCAAATGAACAAGGTCTGATTTCATAGCTGTTATAAAATTAACCAGGATGAAAATGCCTTGTAATTTTATTAATCTTAGCTCCACTAATTCAGAATCTGAATTCTGATTTTAAGACTTTAAAAAGCAAACTAATAATATAGCCAGATTCAACTAAACTACATCTAAAATGTACAGCTTCAAGAATTTTAGAATTGTATAAATAATTCGTAAGCTAATTATAATCAGTGTTACTCAGAATCTCCCCTAAAATCTAAGCTAAAATTGTTTTAGTAAAAATAAGTAGTAAAGGTTTCCTCAAATCACTAAAGAAAATAATCTCTACAATATGAATTTCACATTTTATATAGATATGGTCTAACTTATCAGAAATCCAGTATTAGTATTGTTCTGTGGACTTGTAAGACATGATTCTGATATATATTGTTTGATATAACTGTGTTCTAAAGAAATGACAAGATCCATACTCAGTAAATAAAAATCAGAATTAAATTTTCTTAGATGTTTGCATGTTAGATGATATAGTCTGTAGAGAAAACCACATTGATCATCTTTTATTATTAACATTTTTAACCCTATAGGGTTACTATAGTAACTTTTCTTTCACTTAGAAATATTACAACAATAATCAAGTAAGAAAGTTTCTAATACTCTGTTTTTCACCACTAGTTTTGTTTTCTTCACTAATTCCCCTTCCTCCTGAACCCAAGCTGCCATTCCTCTTATCTCAGTCCTCACCCTCTGCTTTCCTTCAAGCCTTCCCATTCCCTAACTCCATACATATTCTCATGAAAGGCTTAACTACTCTCTTGATGTTACCTAAAATATCAGGTGTCTCTCACCCAGATTCGAAACTATACTTCCAACTACTCACACTGAGTATCTTCACATGAACAGCTCACTTTCAGCTGATTTAAAATATGTTTAAAACCAAAATATCAACATTCATGTCTCCAAGCCTCAGATTTACCTTTCTTTCTTCTCCTTTCTGTGAATCATTCATGTGAGCAGGATGAACACTTTGACAAAATCTTTGGTCATAAATGGCACCGGAAAAACTAACCAAATCCCATTTGATTGCCCTAGGACATCTGGCGGTCCTAAGGCCAGTCACATCACTAGTTTCCTTTCCACTATTTTTTTTCCTCTTACAATCACAACTTCATATGCAACTGTCCTTAAAACATGGTTTAAGCCTCTAGCATTACCATGATACTGTAGTATTTATCAAAGCCAGTCTGTCATCCCCATTCAGGATCCTCTAAAAGTAAGTCCCACATTCCATTCCTATTCTATTCTCTGTCACTACATTTCTTATCCAGCTCATTTCCTTCTGTTGTGCTTCAATGCAAGCTGTTTCCCATTGCCTGTAATACTTCTTTCAGTTTTAATGACAGTCTTAACTATATGCTTTCTCCAATGTTCAATAAAGAGCCAGTGGACTTCCTTCATGAAACTGTTTGACAACTCTTGTCAAAACTTTCTTTTCTGAATATAGCATTTATAACTTACACATACGATCTCTCATTTAACTACGTATTACTTGTATTATAATACAGCTTCACTACATAGTATTAAATCATGGGCCATAAAGAGGGAACTAGAAAATTAGCAAAGATTAGAAGGATTTTAGTAGTCAATAATTTTGAGACTGGAAGTTTTAATGTAATAATGTGAGACCAAAAGAAAAAAATAAAACAGAGCTTAAATGTAGACAGGCAGAGCAGAACTGACAAGAGATTTTTGCTAGAGAGGCCAATGTGAAAAAATTGTATTAGACAAGATTACCAAACTTAATGTTCTCTCTCCCTTATTATCTCCATAATATTTTATACTTTTCTTTTGGCTCTAAAACTGATATCTACACTATAGGAAGAAGATAAGTTTTTTCTTCCTTTTCCCTTCTCTGTGAATCTGTGAAGTTCCTATGTCAAATATCTCCAACAGCCCAGTGCCTTACACTCAGCAGTTTTTAAAATTGTACTTAAGATGAAAAAAGCATCAATGAGATTCCTTAGAAGCCTTTGCCACAAGAGTTGTATTTAACTCACTCTAGTTTTGACCTTGGGGCCACGTGAAGCATATATAAAACCTTACTTGTTGATGTTCTTACAGTTACAATTAATACTGATAATTTAATTAAAAAAACATGGATTATATGAAGTCAATAAATTTCATTTTTCTATTTATGTTTAACTTTAAAGTACACCTGAAGTTTTTATTCTATTTTCATAATAAAACACTGTGGCCCCACGGAAAAGTTTCTGCTTTTTTTGTGTGGCAGTCAATGTGTTAACATGCTGTATTAGTAAATCTGTGGTCTTTGATAAAGTTCCCTCACTCTAAGACTACAGGAAAGATCTGTTCATGGTGATCACATCTATCTGACAAAGATAAACAACATAAAGAAATCAATTTTCTGCACAGAAATTAATTTGGGGATAGAAAATTTTTTCATTACATAAACATTTTCAAGAAGCAAAAGTGAAAGTTGAAAACTAAAACCACTTAGCAAATTGTAAAATATCACTGAATTATTATTAGAAGTATTAAAAGATATAATGAAGTTGTCTCTCCATTAAAATTGTCAGAACAATTTTATAGTTTCTAGATAAGCTAACAAAATAAACTTTTGTTTATATAACTGTTTGTTTATAGTATATATATTGTATATAACTTTGTTTCTAGATAAACTGCTAATAAAATTATAGCGGTTAGGCCAGAGAGAAATAATTAGAGGCAGACATCAATGACATGATCTATGTTTAGTACTTATCCAGGAAGTTCCATATTTCAAAGTCTCTTCATTTTATTAATAAGCAAAATCAAAGAGAGGTAAATGACGTGCTCAGGGTTACACAGCACATTAATCTAGGACTGGAACACAGCTCTTAATCCAGGTTCTCTCTAACACCGCACACCCTTTGACTCAATCCCATTCTTCGCTCATTATACTTCAGCCTGCTGCCATGTCTTATCACTTCTTCCCTTACTTTCATTGCCCTGCCACAACTTCTGTCAATACCTAGTCTTCCCAAGATATTAGGGAACTGGTCTCTCCCCCAAGACCAGTAAACTGATGAATTCCACTGCTAATCTCATGCTAGACCTCTGATGAGATAGGTTTTTTAGTCATCAGGTCAGAATTTAGTCTGCATGCGGTAGATGAAGCACAGAATACTTCTTTGACAAATATAATTTGGCTTCAACAACATTAAAACCCATTGCTCTTGGCTTCCTTAGCCCAATGAGCTGAACAACAGAGCTCATTAATTAGTTCAAATACTTCAGAAATATACCCTCGTGCATAAATACACTCGCCCGGTAAATTTCATTCTAGATTTTTATATAAACTTCTAGTTATGGTTAGAAAAGTATTCCAATACATGGAAGGATGAGAATTTCAAGCACTTACTGCAAGTTCCGCCACTGAACATTGGAATAGTTTCAAACATCATCTTGTGAAATAACAGTGCCACTGGTCTATAATCCAGATGATTCTTTAGCAAGTAGCTATAATAATACACATAGCGCCTCTGACTGGGAATAGTTACTCCCTGGTGAAGAGGAAAAAAAAAGAGAAGCCAAAGTCAAAAGAAAAGTTTCATTATCGTTATTTCACTAAATTGCTACAGTAACTGAGTTATAGCCATTGAAGAATATATATACACATTAGAAATTTGACCTTAAATTATTAATACTTAAATCCAGCTCAATAATAGAATAAATCAGAACAACATCAATACAAAGGACAATATCGGAGTAACTTTTCTCCCTTAAAATAAAATTATCATAACACCCCATTTGTTCAAAGGTCACAACAATGCTTTGACCCATGAACCCAATAAGCAAAGGCCACTGTGTATCCCAAATAACTGTCAAAGATCTCTGTACTACACTTAGGCTTTTTACATCTATGGTTCTCCACAAGGATTTATGAACTCTTACTAATAAACACATAATTCCTCACAAACTTGCTTACTTACTTTCCAGGGAAAAGCATATCAGAATCAGCAAACTAGACAGAGGCATACTGCCTTTAAGAGGCAGAAGCAGCAATAACAAAAAGTGATGCTAGCCTTAGAGCCCAACAAAAACAGGAGTATGTGGTTGACATAAATGTATACAACAATCCACTAACAGAGGTACTTAAAGACACTCCTATGCTACATGTATCTCTTTGTTAAAGAAACCAGACAAGTATAAAATGCCTTAGAAAATTTACGTATTATGAAGTCTTAAAATATACATAATTCACATGGTATTTAAAAGGGAAACTTGAGTTAATTATCTGAAGAAAAAAATCAAATACGTGCAATGATGTATTCGCTAATGGTGCTGACTAAATGAGGTAATAGGGTGCTTATCTAAGGCTTCTTTTTTATGACACAAAGTGACTTAAGAAAAATTCAACTTAGATATATAAGGCAAATAAACAACATTAAGAAGTCTAACAGAAGTGATTATAGAAAACTGTACTTTAAATTAAAGGATACTCAAGAGGAAAAAGAATTTTCAATATTTTTCTTTAAGTTACTATTGGTATCTAAAGCTCCCCAATGTTTTAAAAATTCTGGACACAAATATCCTTCTTCCCCCTAATGAAAAGTATAAAGTACATTTATGTGAATTTCAAAACAGGTATGTTGAATAGAAGGTATGTAGGTATCTACTATAGTATTCTCAGTATTTTTTTAAGGGTTAGCATGATTTTATTACAGACAAACATATATATATGTATATATAAATAGTTTACAGTAAGAATAAACCATTTCAAATCATGACAAGTGATTTAAGATTTTGGCTATATTGCAAAGACCATACATTTTGTAGTCAGAAGATGAGGATTTGAATGCTAACAGTCAAAGCACAAACTGATGCATTTCCTCAGGAAAATGAGGACAATAATACATACCCTTCCTTCTTAAGACTCTCATGAGGACCAAACACCAAATGCAGTTACACAAAAGCATGCTAAAACTTCAAAATGGTACACAAATACTAATTAACAGTTTTAAGATTTCTACCTGTATTTAAGGTATAGTTTTGGAATAGCTGGAATTTTATTTCTCTTCATTTTTCTTAAAGAAATAGTGGTAAAGTATGACTTTGAAGAGCTGTTACAAAAATTAACATTAAAATTTATCATTGGCTGGGCGCAGTGGCTCACGTCTGTAATCCTAGCACTCTGGGAGGCCAAGGCGGGCAGATTGTTTGAGCTCAGGAGTTCGAAACCAGCCTGAGCAAGAGCAAGACCCCGTCTCTACTAAAAATAGAAAGAAAT